TCATACTGTGAATCTATTGGTCACTTTCAAGTCTGTAGACCAATAAAAACTTAATTAGGTGACATATGACAGTTTATAGCCTGGCTCAAAATCTCTGCCATTGCCCAGCCTGTAGTGACACAATGCATATAGGGAAATGTCATTATATCCAGTAAGCTCATGCCAAATAATCAGAAATATGGGCTGATCTAGTACAGCCAGTCATTTTTATCATACAAAAAATACACACAGCATGCAGTTGAGCATGTCCATTAGGCTCACTTGCTAATCTAGTATACATCCAGGTATTTTTCACATAGATAAAACCCACACATGTATACAGTTGGAAAGTACTTTGTCACCAACTTTACATCATAATTTGTACGCATGGAATAAACACTTTCCAGATTCCAAACACAGTCATTCCTTTTTACTCTATGCATTCTGATTACCATTTGGTTGTATTATGCAAGTACTGGGTAATGTAGCCATAAACTGCTAGCTCTGAGCAGAGAGAAAACTCACTTCATTTCAAAACTTTGAATAACCAACGCTGACTCATCATGTGACATCACCTGAGGCGATCTATTATATTTTGTCGACTCCCACTGGGACCACACAATACTTAAAAAAAACAAAAAACGTAAGCAGCAGAATTCCCTTCGGCTGGAGATATTTATGCTTTTCAACCACATCAAGGTTCAAGGTTCTTTATTTTGTCATACGAACATATCTACAGTGTAGTTATGCCGATTAAATTCTTAGGTCACAGGCTTCTCCAACAGTGCAACACAATAACACAGACAGAACAATATAGTGCAAGTAATAGTAAATACAAAAATAAGAATAGTTTAAAAAAGTGAAATAGTGCAATAAGAGTCTATATGCAAGTTATTGGAATGATATATTAGATAAATAGATAAATAATTACATAGCAGATGAATGTTATGGATGTTGTTTCAACAGTTCAGGTGTTTAGCAACTTAGTCTTATTGCCTGTGGTATGATTTACTTTTGCAACATGTAACGTTAGTTTCTGAAGACATGCACAACTAACACTCTTAATGCAGGAAAGCATTACACTGCCATCACACAAAAACATAATCAAATAGACCCGTGAACAGACTTTGATGTGTTCAATCGGTTGTTTTCCACATATACTCTGCCAAATGTGGTCACACAAAAATGTTGACATACAGCATGCACAGATAGACATCAATTTCAAACTAGGGCTGAACGATTTGGGGAAATAATCTAATTGCGATTTTTCTGACAGATATTGCGATTGCGATTCGATTTGTGATATTTGTTTTTAAAGCGACCCAATGGAAGGTTATTGTAAAATGCGGCCATATCTCCGGCTAGGAAGGTCGCATCAACGTACTCCCGTCTCTAGCACCCCCGCAGCCCGAGCTACGAGTGAAAGAACTAAACTTACATGAAACTTCCGTTGGGTTGCTTTAAAGTCAAGCTTCAGTTTAAGATTCACCCTGTAATAGAAACATGTGATGGAGCATTACTAACCTTACCCAGATGCTTTGTTTCACCAAACCATCTAGGAAAGCTCCATTGGAAGCCATTTGGAAAAGTATTTCAAAAATACTTGGCAGGTGATTGGATCAATCTGTCTATCACCTTCTATCATGGGCCACTTCTGATTGGTTAACAATGGCTGGTACATGTGGAGCACGTACGTTTATTACAAATAATGTTTTTTTTTTAAATCGCAGGCTTTGCGATTTGATAATCGCATCATTTAAAATCGCGATTTCGATTTAAAATCGATTAATCGTTCAGCCCTAGTTCAAACACGTGAAACCAGCACATCGGAAGGAAATGACCAATCGATTGGCAGCTTTCACCTGCAGCTCTGCAGATACCTGCTGTCAGAGAACTCCTGCCAACTGGCTGTCCACTCACTTTGTTAGATAAAGCTTAGTCACTGTGAAGCAGAGTCCAAAACACACTCAGAAATAATAATGTGATGCGTGTGTTTTTATACTGAAGCAGATCAGCATGTCGAGATGAGCCCAGATCATGAGAATTCAACACTAACATTGTACATAATCTTGGATCCCCACACTAAAATGTCAGTGGTAATTAACAGTACATTTAATCAAAACCTAAATCTAAACTGTTGGAGAGAAACTCCCTCTGGAGGGAACATGGGGATTTTAGCCTTTGCAGACCATTTACATGCACAGAAACCTATAAACACACTACAGGAAAAGGAAACCCCCAAAAGCAGAACAAGGCCCCTTTAAAACTTCACTTACAATAACATATTTCAAGGACAAGTTGGAGATTAGTAGTGATTTACATTTTGTAGCAAAACTTTTCTTATTCCTTATTTCCTGCATTATTAATCATCTCACGTCCACTCAGATGTACCAGTAGAGCCTTTAGAAGGTCCAGACCCCTAGGTTGGGAACCACTTTACAAACTATCCAAGTGAATACAAACCAAAACTAGCTCCACCTCATCCACCTACCGTAACCGACTGCTAATAAATGAATGCATCAATTTAAACAATGTCATAACTATTATATCAGTCACAGGGGCCATTTATCTGCAAAATTAGTACTTGAACTTTTGATACTTTAGTTGCATTTTGTGGAGAACCCCTCTCTTCTGTAACTAGTAGTGTTTAGAGTATTTCCCCATGTTGTTTTGGTGCTTAATCAAAGGACGCAGTATTTTCCTCACTGTCTCTGAGACTGCTCCTGCAGCCTGGAAGAGAAAGAGGGCAGATCGATATCCAGATAAAACCACCTCATGACATACTTCCACAGGCAAACACACAGAAACACTTCATCCAGTGTTAGTGTGTGTGTGAGTGAGGGTACTATGCGTGAGAAAGCACATTTCTAACATACTGTGTACAGATGTTACGTCCGTTTGGTCATGCACCTCTGCAGCACAATGAATTATACACAGAGTTCTCCCCAGCCCTTTTCCGTAAGTGTCTTTCATATCACGGAGAATCTATTTCCCCTGCAGTAGCACTCCAGGCTGGCCTCGGATTGATTGTGTGTTAAACTGCTGGTGTTTGAGAGACAGTCTGCCAGGAAGCTCTGCTCTATGACTCCGGGTCCCCGGCACGCAGACAAGAAGCGAGCCTCTTCACCGCACAGGATAAATCAAGCTCATTACAAGAGATGTGTAATTTGAAAGTAAGTGTTTGGCACAAAGCTGGCCAAATCTCGCCCCCGCGTACCCTTATTTGGAGACTGGGACCTGGCAGCTTGGATGGAGACAGATCTCCGATAAAAGAGTCTTATATCAAACAAACACACATACTGAGACAAAGGCATCAATGAAGCGAGATTCATGAGTACATTTGCACTTCATGTACACCTCCACAGATTGTCGGAAATAGCAGGAAATGAGAGTGGAGGTGGAAGAAAGGGAGACTATGTGATCGGAACAATACAGACAATCAGATCAGGATAATGAGAACTAGAGCTCCAAATGTTAAAGGGATTCAAAAGAAAATGTATTGGCCAATTGTTAGAAAAAAAGTAATTTTCTCAACAAAAATGCCAAACATTCTGATGGTTTAAACTTTAAAGTGATCAACTTTAGGCAGTCTTACACTTAAGTCAATTGAATATGTTTGAGATTCTTAAAGTAATAATGACAAAACCAGACATTTAAGAAGGAGATAACTGGTGACTGTTCACTAAAACATGTATAAAGGTGGTAGGTGCGCTTGGAAAACGGTGAATGTGCAAATGTGAGATCAAGTAACCACGAGAAAGTATGAATCCAAAAGCTTTTATTTTGGTGACTAAATACATTTTGGAGTGAAAGGATGACCTTCCTGTTCAAAACAAGACATTTTTTGATTGTTATGTTGTACCTTTAAACGGGTTTGCAGATTTGTTAAACACTTTAGGTCACTGGGTTCAAATTGACCCATTTTGATATAGGCCTGCTACGTTTCCTTTACTAGTACCAAATTGATATTTTGACCGAGTGTTAGTTAATATGTAACCTTAAAACTGTCATAAATCTAGGGTTATTCGTCCAAAAACATCTGAATATGATATTGAAAACTGCACAAGACGCAGATTAGATACAGATTAGAGACCATAATGAGTAAACCGATAATGAGAATAAAGATATGTTGCAAGCCAAAAGAAAACACACATGTCATCACAAGTTCTTGACAAACAATGCTTAGCCAGCGAGGAAGTGTTGTGCACAGCCAGTGGTTATGCAAAGAGGAAGGAAACAGTGTGAACTCAGTAAAAGTGAGAGCCTTTAAATAATGCTAACTATAACCACAGGACACAAACTGACACTATGTAGAAAATGTGGTGCATTAGGGACAACCAGTGTCATCCTGTTGAGGCTGCGCTCAGAATATCTAAAACACCTTCAGGAGGTTTGCCAAAAGAACACTCCCACCACGCTGAGAAGTCAAATCAGTTGCACAGTCTGTGTTCCATCTATCACCCTGACCCCCTGTTATCACGTATTTATCGCCTCAGGGTGTGTGTGCACTCACAGGTGTGCATTTAAACACTACAGCAGGAGATTTGATCCCAAGAATGTATACCTCCTCTTGGTGGAATTAAAAACTGCATATTCACAGCCGCTCTATGGCGCATGATTGGACAGCCTTCAGGCACTGCTGGTCCACCCAATGAAAACCAGATTTTGGCAATAAAATTACGATTGACGGCATCCTGCCACTCAGCAGCTTTGTCAACATTGCAGGTGCAGACAAATGTATCCGTGCGTAACGATTCCAAACACTGGAAATCAGAGCGCACGGTGTCAGGAAAAAAACGATTAAATTAACACAATAAATTAGGCTTTTATGTTCAAATCTGACTCCAATCTCTTCAAATGCAGGTTTTAAGGGCTACTAATGTATGCACACACACTGCTAAATACCCAAATCCACAAGGTTAAAACACTCATGGCGTGGCTTCATTTAAAGTGCCAGTTTCTGTGGGGTAGTCGAGCCTGTCCCAGACCAAACATCGTAAAAAGACAGAGAGAGGTCCTACCTGGTAATCTCGAAGCTGCAACCCTTCCGAAGGAGCAGGGCTCTCTTCCGCATGATGCCTTTGTCTCTGCCGAGGTACACATTTTTATCTGAATTCATGGGTGCTGGGCGAGCAGGTAGACTCGTGGAAACGGCAGCGCCTTTTTTCCAAAGGAGAAGAAAATAAAAAGTCCCAAAATGCGAGAGTGAAGGAGGCGGAGGAGAAACGGAGAGAAACGGGCTGGTGGGAAAAAAGAGAGGTGGAAAAAAATCCTTTGACGCTCGGTCCGAGGAAAGTGATCTTGCAGACTCCCCCCCCCCTCAGGCGAGACAAAATACGGTGTGGTTGGAGCTCTTAGAGGTGCATGGTGTCCGGGGAGGGGAATGTCTCCATGCGGGCTGTAATGCTGCTGCTGTCAACCTGAGAGACCGAGAGTCCTGATCCACTGATCCTGAGGAGTAGAGCCACAGCGCTCCTTCTACTGCTGCCCGGCACTGAGGGCTGTTAGATGGAGAGAGAGGGAGGGGGAGAGAGAGAGAGCAGCACTTCCTCAAACAATGCCCACAATTTAAGTCTGTCCTGGAACATTTTGTTTCCTAAATTCTCTATAGACATCGACAACTTATCAAATCATTTAAGAAAATCTTTCCTTTATTGAATATTTGGGAATTTCGAATATTCTTTAATAGTGTAGTTATCACTAATTAAGTTAACATAATTCACTCATGGAACTACAGGTTGGGGGTATTGTTTCCGCACGGACATATATGTTGTTGACTGTACTTATTGTGTGCCCTCCTTGCTTCTTCCTCTTTGCTTCCCGGGCTTCAAGCCGGCAACATGTGGTTTTCTGCTGCTTAATAAAGCCAACTTTGCACCTTCGATGCACCGCCTCTGACTCCCTTCTCTCGGCACTACACTGGTGACCCTGAATTAAGTCTCGCAGAAGTTTCCGAGACTGAACCGAACACGGCTAGAAACACAGTTTTTCTTCAACTGCCGGAGATTTTTGGAGACGTCCGTGGCTGCCTCGTGCACACGGACTGAGGCTCGGTGCGGCCTCCGCGGAATGGCCGAGGACGTCGCTCGCCATTCCCACATCGTTTCGGCACTGGGAGACAGCAAGCCTTCCGACCACATGGAGACTATACGCGACCTGCTAGGTACGGAAGAACCCGATTTCTTGTTCATGGCACTGTTTCTTCGGGACATGCGGCTGCATGTCCAGACAGCGCTTGCTAACACGGCTAGTGTTGAGCCCCGCGCTTTACCCTTGAGGTGCTGGCCCCGACACGCAGCGGCACCTTCCCTGGTAGAGGCACGCCGCCTAGCAGAGACTCTGGGGCCGACGACATCGAATAACGGCTAACAACGGCTAACAGCTAACGGCTAACAACGTCAACTACCGGCTAATAACGACAGCTACCGGCTAACAACGGCTAACAGCTAACGACAACAGCTAACGGCTAGCAGCTACCGACGACTAACGGCTAACGACGACAGCTAACGGCTAGCAGCTAACGACGACTGACGGCTAACGGCTAGCAGCTGACGGCTGACTGCTTCCATATGTTAACATCTGACTGTTAACCCTTTTTGGTGGTGCCGGAGAGGAGGTTCGACCAAGCCTGGTTGACCTCGTGTGGATCCTCTCACAATTTCACCCACCTGTTTTTGATCGTGGACAGGACGACCCTTTTGAGCTTTTTCTGGTGCCTGAGAGGAGGTTCGATCAGACAGTCGACCTCGTGTGGACACTCTCGCTTTTTCACCACCTCAACGGCGGTTTCGGACGTCGCCCATGCTTTCATCGGCGCCTGGGTGGCGCACTTCTGGACCCCGTCTCGCCTAGACAGTTTCGGACGTCGCCCATGCTTTCATCGGCCCATGGGTGGCGCGCTTCGGGACCCTGTCTGGCCTCTTCCCTCGCCTCGGCAACAGCTTCGGACGTCGCCCACGCCTTCATCGGCTCGTGGGTGGTGCACTTCTGGACCCTGCCTGGCCTCTCCTCTAACCTTGGCTCACGGTTCGCCTCAACGGCGGCTTCGGACGTCGCCCACGCTGTCATCGGCACCTGGGTGGAGCACTTCTGGACCCCGTCTCGCCTCTCCCCTGTCCACGACTCCTTCCTCCCGAGGACTTCGTGCCCGCTGCCGGGCAGCGCTCCTCCACGGCAGGGCCCAGGAGGTGAACTGGGACCTCTCCAAGTAACATTCCACACTCCATATTAGGTCTGTTCGGGGACTTGAACCGGCGATCCCCAACATCCCCAACTAAAAAACAACATTATTTTGTTTAATTTTTGGGATTATTTTCGAATATACTGCCATACTCATCCACACCTTATTAAATCAGAATATATACTTTTTATTTTTTTCAGAAATGAATTTAATTTGTTTGTTCGTGATCCAAAAAGTGCACTGGTTTGCTGGTACAGAACACAAGCTAATTGTGCTTTTGTTCATGTATACAGACAGGCCTATTCCTTAGCATAGTCTTTTGTAAACGTGTTTTGGTCATGCCAATACAGCTATTCCAATTTTCAAAAGAACAGTTTGTGGTGAGACTATCTGAGAAAGAGTGAATGTGTTTAGAATAAAATGTGTAAATTACAATATGCGTGAGAAAGGCAGAACATGAGAGTACACATAAGTGCCTGTTTCTACAGCCTACAGCACAATGCACTGTTGTTGACGTCAATAATATGCATCTATATTAATTGTCTTTGTCTAACTTGTAGCTGGGAAATCTCAGGATATCACACTCAGAATAGCAGGAGGGGAGACCTTGAAGCTGTGTTTACTCTGCTAAACCCTCGCTCTGCTGCAGGTGCACCCAGCTGTGGGTGCTATGGATTAGCTGATTAGCTCCAAATATATAAAGGTGTGGGTGGAGGTTTCATCCTGCGCCTCATTAGGGCCAGACGAGGAGGGGGATTCAGAGGGCAAACCGAAACACACACACACACACACACACACAGACAGTCTCCCGTGTCTGTGTGTATTCATTTCACTTTCCCCAAAGTTTGTAATCATTTATCTTGAAAATGCTCTTTTCAAAATCAAATTAGTTTCAAGTAAAAGTATAAAACATTTGTCCCCAATACAAAAGTTCCCTTTAACATAACCTGTTGTAATGACATTCATGTTTAATATAATAAGAGTACAGTCTGCACCTGCCCTGCTTCAAATGAAATGTTTACTGAGATAACTTTTACGATTTGGCGCTGTAGGTAAAATGTAATGTAATTGACATTTAGCAGCTGAAGAGACATTTCCCTCAGCCGCAAACACAGGATAAAAATACAATAATGATAACTGCTAAATATGTTATCAATAATCAATTATCTGCCATAACATCTTAAAAGGCAATAATATGTCACTGTGGTTTATGGTGGCCAGAAAGTCTGTTAATGCTAGTTAATGCCCCCCCTCCCCTGCCTGAAACGCCTCCATGGGTACAAAGTGACATCACTATTTAACACTCACACTTCAATTGTATAGCGCTCCAACAAAGTGTACGTGATAAGGGACGAGACATCTATAACAGAGCCGGCCAGCTACCCAATCAGCGCAGACTGGGCTCTGGTTTCAGACAGAGGGTGAAAAGACAGACAGTATGAGAAAAATGTCCCAGTAGAGGCACAAAATATGAACCTGAAAACGAGAATAATAGGGTCTCTTAAATTAAGGTCCCTACTTTGATCGGGAAATACTCATGTGCATGTTGGAAGTTCTTATTTGTTCGTTTCACCTTTTCCATCCAATAGAAGAGAAGCTGATCACACACACACACACACACACACACACACACACACACACACACACACACACACACACACACACACACACACACACACACACACACACACACACACACACACACACACACACACACACACACACACACACACACACACACACACACACACACACACACACACACACACACACACACACACACACACACACACACACACACACACACACACACACACACACACACACACACACACACACACACACACACACACACACACACACCCGCTGTTTATATGAGGAATTCTCTCAACGTGACTCACACAGCTGCATTCAGAGAGGCATGTTTGTGTGATTGGAGAGACTTCAGATGTGTTGCTAAGACCATCTGATTCTCTGCGCTACAACAGCTCACCACATCTTCTCCACAGCTATGGTAACTCAGAGAGAGAGACGCCATACAAAGATTCTCCTCTCACTAACACCACTTTTCAATCTCACCGTGTCTTTACAGCAAGAGAAAGAGCTGAAATAAGACTTTCTTGTTAAGGTTTAACGTTAGAGACACAGAATTGACTGTAATCTAGACTTCCATGAGGCAACATAGCAAGGATATTTATTTTGCTTACACAGTCAAATCTGGAGTGTTAATTTAACACTGAGATAAGGACCATATGTTCACTGGCTCAATATTCAAATTGACTTGATTGAAAGGGAGGTTTAAGTGTTAAATTAACACTTAAAGAGTCAATTTTAACACTGAGCCAGTGAACATATGTTCCTTATCTCACACGAGGACGATAACGGTCGTTACCATTTTGTGTCATATAGACCATTCGGCCACACTAGGACGACAGAATACGGCACTAAACGACTACGGTAACGATAACGGGTCCCAAGGTGGATAGAACGGCATACGGAACGCTCTGGGGGGTCCAACGGCTCCGTGTGTAGACCTATACGCCCTATACGATAATTTTCTGATAATGATGAATCAATCTCCCCACCTCTGCTGCTCACCCCCGCGTCAAAGTAAACTGCACACTGAATTCAGATTATTTATCTTTCTCTCGATATGGACCTAAACGCGAGTGAAGTCTAATCTGACAGGACGGAGACACGCAGCTCTGCTCACCTGCAGCTCCTCCCGCTGTGATGCGGCGGTGAACGGAGCAAAACACACACTTCAAGTAAGATCATTCTTTCACACACAGTGATGTCACGAGCTACCCACAATGCAACGCGCGTCATATATATATATATATAAATACGCCATTTTCCTGGAGGTGCTAATATCCTGGAGGTGCTAATATAAACAGCTAGGTAATGTAGCCAGGCAGAGCGCACTAGTTTTTTTTTCTGAATTAACGACCGAAGAAATCGCTGCATGTCTTCGGATTACATCTCTGGACTTGAGGGGTGTGCTCTAGGTCGTTACCAGCGTAAACTAGAGCTGTGTGGGTTGTCCGATTGCCCTTACAGGCTGCCTGCAGATGTATGGAAAAACGACTCTCGAAAGTGGCCTTCGGTCGATTTTGGCAGCATCTACGTCTATCTTCTGGAAACACCAGGTGAATACCCCACTTGTCACAATAATATTATCATGCCAATGCTTATATGTGGTATTTTAGAGTTGACTAGTGTTACGGTTATCTGAGAGAACCCAAACGCAGGACACGGCAGTGTGTTACAAAGGTTTTATTTGGAGGAGATAATCCGG